TATTGACAATATATTTTTCATTTACAAAGTATCAGTCTAAATTTGCATATATAGAAAGAAATCTATGTTTAAAGAGAAAAATCAAATTAAATGCTTGCATCATTGGTACAATAAGCTAAGCAAATTATGTAACCATTGAATTACATGTTAAAATACAGTAAGATAGACTAGATTGAAGATGATAGATAGATAGATAGATAGATAGATAGATAGATAGAGACTTATAAACACAAGACTTAGGAACTAAGGAGTTCTTTTGGCTAAAACCTAATATTGGCTTTATTTCAGTTTAATTGGAAGAGGATCTTAAATTCATCTTCTCCATGAGATATCAGGAACCTGGATTTCTCTTTGTACCAAAGGTTAATAAGAAATGTGTCTGCAAAAGTCAAACAGCATTAAATACCAAAAACTGATTATTATTCTACAGGAGTTGTTCTGTCATTCATAATCTCTCCATGCTCCAACCTTCCACAGCTAATCTTTAATGGATGACATGCAAGAAAGAAAAATAACTAACATATAAAGCAGAGGCTCTAAAGTGAGCTTTTAAGAAATAGAAAAATAAGGGTTTTAAAGATATATAAATATTTTAAATATCACAAAATAGCATATAAAACACTATCTAAATAAATACTTTTAGGTGAAAAGTAAGCATCATCTGCATACTATAAAAGCAGTAGAATAACAAAAATTAAAGAGACAAAAAAACACTAGACAATGCCCACCAGGACTGTTTAGGAAAAATGAAAGGTTTAATTGGACAAGCTAATTTTAGAAGGCATAAAAACACATCATCACTGATATAAGAGCAAATTAATGGATGCAAATCAGGCCACAGCATACTATCTTTCATTGTTAAACTCAATTTAACTAAAACAAATTTTAAAATGCTTATGTGTTAATGACTTTTTTTTTTCTAAGGTGAGAAGAGATGCATACCTAAAGAACAAAAATGCAATGTTTCTTCTGTGCTTCTCTAAAATATCCCCTAGTATTTGAAGGTCATACATAACAAATGTCAAATAATATTACTTGCATGTATAATTTAATGAGCTAAAACTCAGTAAAAAGTCTTAAATAGCTGCAATGAGGTAAATCATTAATGCATAGGGAGTGAGGTGGTCATTTCAGCTTTTCCTAAGACTAAATAAGACCTACTTGTTACACATTGTAACTTTTTTCTAGAGGTTTTAAATTTTTTTCAGTATCTTCACACTTTTGAAATAAGGTTAAATCTAAAAATTAAGGAAAACTCAAAACTGGGGATCCAATTAAATAATAAATAAAAATCCTCTGTAAACTATTTTAACAAAAGAAATACAAATCAATTCCTTGTATAACAAAACCATTTATAAATAACTATCCCATACTTATCTATATAATTAATATGGGATAGTAATTTACATAACTACACAATAACAAGGAACACTTTGGGTATGTCCTCTCTTAGATGAAGAAGTCTTGAGAAAACAAGATGGTTACAACATCATTATCTTATCATCATAATTATTTATTGAGTTTCTTCTATGGGTTAAGCACTTCATAAACATTATCTCACTTAAGCATTGAAGCAACCTATAGTAGATTTTAACTAATGCTTAGTGAGGCTGTCATTACACATGATAAGTGGCAAAAAGATTAGAACAAAGGTCTGAATCCAAAGTCTGCACATTTAACCACTACTTACAACATGTATGCTGTATTATGATTGAGAAGAGGTAACAGGCAATAAAAAAAAAAATGCCAGAAATCACAAATCTGTCTTATTTGCTGATTTGCTGATTCAGTGTCCAAAACAGAGCTTAGAACATAATGAGTCCTCAATAAATATTTCTTGTTTGATTTGTAAAGAAGTAAGCATAGTTCCCGTGAAACATTTAAGTGCTTAATAAAGAGTGTCAATGATGGTGACAATGACAATAATGATGGTGATGTAAGAGAAGAAAAAAAAGGAAAAGGGGTCAACCATCAGAGATTTTAACATGATAGGGGACACAGCTGATTTTCAAACTCTCATAAAATCACATTAGAATAACAGATTCATGTTATGAAAAAAAAAATGGAGAAATAAAGCAAAAAAATTTGAAGCTAAGTAATGGTCTACATGAAAATTTATCATACATACACATTGCATAAAAGCTCAAATCTTTTGCATCCCATTTTATTTTGAATTCACATTTTAGAAAAATATATTAGTGATCTAACTGCAATGTTATTTATAATCCAATTCTTTGTTTCTTCTTTCGTTTGTCCATGTTTAAGTTTAGTGTCCTTTCAAAATCTATTAACAGTAACCCAGTAATTTTTAACTAAAAGCCAAACAGTTATAAAATGTCTTCTTATAACTTCTGGCAATAATTACATTATTAAAGGTTTAAGATTATCATAAATGTAAAAGCAATAAAATAATATTAATTTGAGCTACAACTTACTGAGTACTAGTTATATACCATGTCCTTTTACATATTATCACTTATCTTTAAAACAGTCTGGTAAATTGGTTAACATTCACATTTTACATGGGAGAGGATAAACCCAAAGAGGACAAATAACTTGCCCAAAGGTAGAGAATCAATATCAAGTGCCCAAGCTGTAATTTGAACCTGGATCATTGTGACTCTAAAGATTTTGGTCTTTCCAATTGCCCTAAACTGCCTAAAGAGAACTGGACATCTTTTGTTTTATGTGGTCTTGTCTGTACTAGATTCTTATAAATTATACAATCACCTTAGAAGACAAAATGGACTAATATATATGTTACATAATAAACATAAAGACATAAAAATAAATATAAAGAAAAGTGGCATGGGTAAAAAGGCAAAATTGGATCACTGCCATCATATGGTTTTCGTAAAACCATACAGTCTTTATATCTCAAATTTTAAAATTAGAGTGCTAGTAATTTCTAAAAAAAGAAACCATATCTTTTGAAAGCAATGTTTATTTTTTCTAATACTAAATCTATGCTCATTATAGAAAACTGGAAAAGGTAGAAACTGTTCACTGAAAAATTAATAGTTTCACTTAAAGACCACCATTTGCCACTTATTTTATATAATATATATGTATATATTTTTTCTTTTTATAAAATCACATTATAAATACAGTGTTTCCCCTATTTCTTTCAACTAATAGTTATGTTTTTCTCATATCCTTGAATATTCTTGATTATTGCAAAATGTCTCAAATTGTAAATGTATCATAACATTTAATAATTTCCTTATGGTTAGACTGTTTTTAACTCTCTTGCTATCACAACCAATATATTAATTTCTTTATACATAAATTTCTATATTTTATATACTCTAAGAAAATGCCTACTATTTCCTTAGGGTACCTCATATTTTAACTAACATTTTATTTTTAAAATGTATAGACTTTTTAATCCTATTTGCTATTTCTAATGTTTAGTTTAGATGTTTTTATAAGCATTTCTTTTATTGTCAAATGGTTTGATCTTTTTAAACATATATATTCTGTTTAAGGACATTATAATAATTTTATGCATGCATAATTCAAACTGTTCTAATGGGAACCCTTAAATATATACCAATAAATAAAATATTTGAAGTATCTACTTAGCTACACTATAAAAAAATTAAAGAGTAAATATTATTGCTTAATTAGGTTTTCCCTCCAAGAGATAAATGGGCTAGCAGACATATCAATTCACAATTTTCAATAGGTTATGAAAACCCAAATCTCATCAAATTATTTCTGTAAGACATATGCAAAGTTAACATTATGCAAATGTATTTACTGTAATAGTATCCTAACAATTAGTATATTTATATATTTGATTACAAAAAGCCAAGAGATTTCCAAATTGTTCTGTTTATATTTGAAATATTTATTTTTAACAAAGTATTAATTTTTCTTAAAATATGTTACCCTTGTATTTTCCCATACACAAAAATAAAAACATTTTAGTAGTTTAACATTAACAGAAAAGCAACCATCTAGCATTCTACCGTCTAGCTGGTGTACTTATTTATGATCATCTTTGTTATATTTTCATAGCAATGTTTAGTTCTATTTTCCACAGTAATATTTTGAAGACAGGCTCTATTAGTCAATCATGTTTCTGATCTAAAACAATTCTTTCACATATGTAATCCTATTAAGTAACTTGTAAAGCAGTATTATAACCTCAGACTAATCATAAAATTCAATTGTTTCTTGAAAGCATTCCAAATGATATAAAAATGTTAAAATAAGTGATGTCTAAAACGGCTCTGAATGCTAATGTCTATTCCTTTATGCAATTTCTCTTAACATACTAAAACAATGTGAGAGAGACATTCACAGTGGCATACACAGATGGAGATCATAGACTACTGAGAATCATTTCATTGTATCTATAACATATCAAAAATAAATTTAAAAATTTCTCCTTGCAAAGACTTGTGAGTAAAGACAGACTCCAGAACATATTTAAGGTAATCATTTATAATCTGAAAGTTTGGCAACCTTTCACTTTAATCTCAGGGAAAATATTATCTCTATTAGCATCTACATCATCAGATGAAAACTTATTTATTGCACGAAACAGATTTTTTAATCAAATGTAGGTTTCCATTGGCAATGAAGATGTGACTATCTTCATACAAAGGCGAAGTATTTCCTCTCAGGGAGCTAAAACAGTAAGTGGTATTTGAACTGCTGGTTGAAAGGTAGAGGCACTGGTAATCATTATTTCCCCTTGTTTGTTCAGCCCCTTCCAACAAAACAAACAACCTTTTTGTGATTGGATTGACATGGTGTTAACAATGCATTTAATGCCCAAATCAGTATGAATACAGGTAAAGCTCTCACTAATACCAGTACCAGGATGTTAAAGCCACCTATTTTCTAAGCAGTCAAAAAAAAAAAAAGGGGGGGACAGAGCTTCCCCTCCTTTGGCAAATAAGCGAGTATGCTAGTATTCACCAAGACACACCATATAATAACCTTATGTGTGATTCTTAAGGCCATATGTTAATACTCATCTACTATACCTGCTGTCTTTTCAGCAATTTTAGCTTCTGTTTCTTTCTCTTGGAGTTCCAGCTTAAATTTTAGTTTTCTCTGTTCTTTATCTTCTTTAGCCAGTTTCTCTTGAAGCTAAAGCACATTAAAAAAAAAATAGATTTTTATCTGACGAATGTCTTGCAAAAATATAACTAATTTCAAAGTAAAGTTTTTGCTTTTTCTTAATTCTTATATAATATTATATTCAACTGCCTAAATATATAACTTCAGAAAAAAATCAAGAATTTAAGTTATTTATAAAGTAATAATTTTATACCTGTAATAATATAGAAATTGTAAAAACATCACAATATACACTTAATTTATTTAGTTATATGTGCATAAATAGGCAAATGAAATTCACAGAACTAACATTATTTTTAAAAATAACTACTGCAGGCCATGTATGGTGGCTCATGCCTGTAATCCCAGCACTTTGGGATCACCTGAGGTCAGGAGTTCAAGACCAGCCTGGCCAACATGTGAAACCCTGTCTCTACTAAAAATACAAAAAATTAGCTGGGCATGGTGGTGGACACCTGCAATCCCAGCTACTCAGGAGACTGAGGCAGGAGATTGCTTGAACCTGGGAGGTGGAGATTGCAGTGGTCTGAGATTGTGTCATTGTACTCCAGCCTGGGAAACAAAAGGGAAACTCCATCTCAAAATAATAATAAAAATAACTACTGCAAAAGCAGTCTCATCCATTCTTTTTTCTTAATACAAAATATTTGGAAGGGATTCACCTAATAAAATAATGAATAGCAACACTTTACAGTTTATCTTAGTAAGTCCAATATTTTGAAACAAAATTAATAATCTTAATATCTGATACAAATCTCCCTTTGAGAAACTATCCCATCCTATTCCATTTAAACTGGCATTGATACCTGACTCATTATTGGCATTTAATAAATAACCGCTAAATGAAAGTACAGAAAACATCTCATGCTTTCAGACAGAATCCCTCCAAATGCTTTTTTAATTCCTTCCTAGGCTTCTGTCATTTTAGTTGTTTTCCTTCAGACATGATCAACATTCCTAATATCATGCTTCAGTTTGACTAGGTCAACTGACTAGAATATTAAAATTAGATAAGTATGTAGAGGTTAAAAAAAAAAAAAAGAAGGTATAGAAAATGTACATTATTTAATAAAATTATTTAATAATCACATGAATATAACTAGAATAAGGGTCAGAACAGAAGATAAAACATAACAAGACAAATTGTATTGGATAAAGTACAGCAGTATAAGATAAACACAAAGTAAATTACAATATTGCCAAGCTTTGCTACTGAAATGTTTAATTACATATATTATTGAGGTCAAATATAGGGCACAGATACTAATAAAGAAAAAAAATTAAGAGAGTAACATGAAACCAGTGCATTCTATTTCTCATTCTCCGTAACACTCAAAGTTTTACTAAAATTTGAATGAATTTTTTCTTTAAAGATACCTATACAAGGAATCAGGGGTTAGTTTATGTAAAAGGAAGTGCTAATACTGGCCAGCAAGGTAGGAAACCAAAAAAAAAAAATGTTTTCATAGTCAACCCCTTAACTCAACCATAACCTGATGGCAAGGTATGGCAGAAACATAAAGCTACTGTTAAATGATTAAAGTACAAAATAAAGCTGAAATATGATGGGCAATAAAGGAAATTTAGAAGATCAACAACTAAAAGTATACTATACAATCATCAGATGTTCCATATTATACCTTTTTATTGCTTGTTCTCAGAATATTCAATTCTTTTAGAAGAAATGCTATTGTATTCTCTTTATCTGAGTCTGAAGTAACTTGACAAGGAGTCATACATTCATAATGCATATCATTATGTCTATGTTCCATAATGCTGTAATAAAGAAACTGATTAACGTTCAGAGTAACACAAACTAATTTTTTTGACATTTTGTATGCTACTTGAGAACAGTACCAACATAAGCAAGTAGTATAAAGGAAGGGAAAGGCAAAGAGATGGGCTATTTTTTTTACAGGCCTTATATTAAATTTGTAAGCATTGGTAAATCTTGGAGTCACTAAGAAGAAATTTAGTAAGGGCTGGGACAGTCAGTGCAGCTCTATTTATCATGTAAATCTTCTGTTGTAATTATAATAGATATCTCATAATCTGACTTTAGCCCAATCTCTACTATTTACTTTACCCATGTGGTTATAAAATGTTTATCCCTACTTCATTCTGTGGTTCTACCCCCAAATATGTACTCCAATCTACATCCTAGTAAGAATCTGATAAAGGGTTAAAAGGTTTTATTATATGTTACTATCCATTAACACATCTACTGAATAATTTGAAAGTAGAAATAAAAGTTCCTATGCAAAACTCTGTTAAAAATTGTATGCTGTAAAGTATTATTTTATCTAGACTGAAAATACACTAGTCACTGAAACTTCTTTTTAAATCTAATAATATTTTTATAGTACATGACTAATTATCAAAGTTCCTTAATCTCATACTTAAAAGTATAAGGTATCACAAATTCAAATCCTTTCATGAGCTAGGTAGGCAAGATGAATGGGTAAAAGCTGAGAATGTAAAATAATAAGGAAGGCAAATGGTAGAGCACAAGGCCCTTTTAACAGCATTCAAATTCATTTAAACGAAAAACAGTGCTAACCCAAACCAAAATGCATGTTTGGGCTTACCTTATCCTAGAGCTGCCAGCTTTTTACTTTCATGAATGATATTTCATGTATATCAATTTAACAGTTATTTTCAAATATATAATAAAACATCACAGAAAATAATATTGAACAAGATAGAATTAAATCTCACTGCCTTTCGTTAGATGCACGTTGTGCTTTTTCACTTAGTTAACTAGACATATTATATCCATATCACAGAAACAGTAGAAAACCCTGGTAGATCCCCCAAATTCTAATGAGTTTAGAATTAGTCAACTCCAAAAAGAATGAAAGAAGGAAAGAAGAAAAAAGGGAAGAAAGGAGAAAGGAAGAAAAAGTTCTTCTACTTTCCACTCTCTCTCTCTCTTTTTTTTTTTCTTGAGACAATCTTGCTCTGTCACCCAGGCTGGAGTGCAGTGGCATAATCTCAGCTAACTGCAACCTCCGCCTCCTAGGTTCAAGTGATTCTCATGACTCAGCCTCCTGAGTAGCTGGGATTCCAGGCATGTGCCACCACACCTGGCTGATACTTGTATTTTCAGTAGAGACAGGGTTTCACCATGTTGGCCAGGCTGGTCTCAAACTCCTGACCTCAAGTGACCCGCCCGCCTTGGCCTCCCAAACTGCTGTCATTACAGGCAAGAGCCACCACGCCCAGCCCCCATTCCTACTTTCTAAATCTAAGGCTGTGAGCACTTACTTGGATTTTTCAGTAGTACAGTAAACAGACTCATCATCTGGGTAAGAACTGATGATCTGAAAATTCCTTGATCTCTGCTCTGACCATTTTGTGTTCTCATAACTTATTTCATTAACTAATTCAGTGGATTTCTGATGCATATTTTCCTCAGAACTCACAGTCAGTTGCTCATCTGGCTGTGTACTTTTATTTATCCTTGTAGTTTCTTGTTCAAGATAACTGTGGGTTATATCTGTATTTAAACAAACAAACAAAATAACACATGATATATCAAACACTGTAACTATTTATTGATATTAAATCAATCAAATAAATATTTTTGGAAATACTCTCATAGCTTTAAAGATATAATTTCTAGTCTTATTTCTACTGTAATCACATAAGCATATACAGTGTGGTTTTTACCATTGAGACTTCCATTTCCACAGTCAATAGATAACTCTGCATTTTGGAATAACCTAAGGAGATTTCTTTTAAATCCTCAGAGCTTAAAAAATCTCTGGGAGTGAGACCTAGTTTAAATTTCTGAAGATCCCCAAATGATTCCAGCATACGCTCAAGGCTGAGAATCACTGATTTGGGGATATTATTTTCTAGGTGAACTTTTCTAGATTTCTGAAAATAGTATAAAATAATTATTATAGTGAAGAGTTAATATATGTGGAACTCTGGTATTAGACTGCCTGGGTTAGAATTCCAGCTTTGCCAAGTGAATCACTTTGGGCAAGTTACTCTCAGTTTCTTTTCTGTAAAATGGGTATATAATATTTGTTGTTAAGGACTGAGTTAACATACTCAAAATACTTGGCCTAGTGCCTGACACATCAATACATGTTAGTTATTATTTTTGTAATCATCGTCATAATATTAAAATAGACACAATACAAGGGAGAATGATTTCTAACCTTCATCTCTAGGATGTATTATACATCAGAGAAGATACTTTGCAATGCCTATCTCACAAAAATTATCTTAAGCTACTGCTAGTAAATAATGGCTATTTCAAAGGGACAATGTACATGTAATGACAAAGTAAAGTTTTGGGGAGAAAATGACACACAAATACGAACACAAAGCAAACTCATTCACTAGTAAATCAATTCAACAGGCCCCAGTACTGATTGTAACTAGTACTTCCTTATTTAGGGCAGAAATATTTCTTGAACTTTAAAAGGCAGATGAATCTCACCTGATTTTTGGTGGTGCCTTTTTAAATCTGCTAAACTTACAATCGTTGGAGGCACATACGAGTAGTTTTATTTTATTTTACCCTATTTTTTTTTAAGATGGGGTCTTGCTCTGTTGGCCAGGCTGGAATGTGGTGGTATGATTATGGCTCACTGTAGCCTCAACCTCCTGAGCTCAAGCAATCTTCTTGCCTTTGTCTTCCGAATGCCTGGAACTAGAGGAGTATGCCACCTTGCCTGGCTGATTTTTATGTTCTGTAAAGATGGGGTCTTGCTATTTTGCTCAGGCTGAGAGTTGTTTTAGAATTTAAACAAAAGGGGGCACTTATAAATAAAATACCTCTCATAAAAATATTCACTTTTTAAGAAAAAATTATTTGCTTGTATATTTGCTGAAATTAGGTATAGCCAGTTATGAACTCTAGATCTTGGACATTATTCTTATTGCTAGCTAGAAGCTAGATGAGTACATCTGTTTTTGGTAAATTACTCTCTATTTCACTCTGAAGAAATGAATTAGAAGAGAGAATGTCCTATCATAATTATACAGTATAAGAGAGCTGTGAACCTTCAACATTATATTAACTTAAATTTGACAGTTTTAGGAACAGATACATCTGAAGATCACTTGTTCATATTTGACATCTTGAAATTCTTACTTTGTTTGCATTAGATAGTCACCATGCAACTTGTCTGTAATAGGCTGCATTAGCATAATGGAACTCTCAAAATCTGAATGAGAAAAGTTTATAAATGGGCATTAAGGAAAGCCTCTATATCATTAATAGACTATGCTTTCTAACACATATAACACATAACATATAACATTGTAAATAACTCAAATGAAAAACAATCAGAAATAATCACTGAAAGCATTATCAAATAACAAAATTGCCCCTAGGGACATATTTCTTAAAAACTATTAGGCCCCCCACTCTTCTTCAGTTTATGAAGTACCATGTTTCTTCAAAAGGGAAAAGAATGGTCCATGGATCACTGTCAACTATAAAAGCCCCCAGGTCCCCATGACAGCCGCACAACTGCTTCAGACTCTTGTCCAGTGCTTTTCAACCTGTTCAAGACCAAATTTACCATTATCTAAAATAATTCAGTATATTTTTTACTTTCAGTTTTTTATTCCTAACCTCCTGGTGTTGATCTTATCTCTGCTATTTAAATTCGCTATTTGTTTACTAGTTTTATAGTTCTCTTCCTTCAGCTATAACCTAATGTCAAATTTGTGATCTCCTGAACTCTTGATAAATCACCACTATTTTACTTGTGACCATACTATCTTCTTCAAACTTAGAGCAAATATGGAAGCTTCCCAATAAGAGCTTCCCAATAAGAGGACTCTGTTGATCCTTCCTGGGTCTTAGTAAATATAAGTCCTTGAAGTTTTATTACAATGCATCAATTTCTGACACACTCTAGACTTTCATTCTAAAATTTAATTTTAAATGTTTAATATTTTTTAAGAATCCATACTGTGTGACTTGACTCTATTTCTGGATATTTCTCATTTCGTTCAGTAGTAAAAACTTTTAGATTTCTAATTGAAAAGGCTCATCAGAAATTTGGAGCTTGCTCTGCAAATCAGACTATCCATACCCTTCTACTGAAAATTTATTTTAAAAAGATTAAAAAAAATATTTTTTAGAGTCAGGATCTTGCAATGTTGCCCAGGCTGGCATCAAATTTCTGGGCTTAAGCAATCCTCCCACCTCAGACTCCCAGTCTGAGAATTTAATTTTACTTTAGAATAAACATAGCTGATTTATAAAAATTTTCCTGTCTTTTTCTTTTCTGACCAACTATTTTGGCAAATATGATTCCAGCAAATCAATGTTAAATCCTCTGAAGGCTCTCAATACTCTTCCTCTCTGCCATCCTGCATTACACTATATTAGTATTCAAATACTTGTATTAATTTATTTATTCATTCATTTACTTATCATTCATGGAAAACTTACAGTGTGATATGCCTTGTGGTAGGTACTGGGAAAACAAAGATGAATAAGAAACAAACACTCCACTCAAAGACTCTCTAGTACAGTGAGGATGGCAAACTCATCTAATGATCTGAATACAATATAATAAAGACTATGCTTGGGCTATGGAGGCCAAATACATACAATATGCTAACCATACTAATGCTCACCTGTAAGACTCTAGGAAGATTTCACATAGGCATTTGCTCCAGAAAAAGGACAAGAAGGATTATGAGAAGTAGCAAACTGCCAAAGGATAGCCAGTTACACAAAATAAAGTTAACAGATTATAAAACTAAGGAGAGAATAGAAAGAATAGGAATAGATATAGAGGAGAAGGAATCAATTTAGGAAACACAAAGAGACATTTCTTGTACTGAAATCACAAGATGTTATAGTTATAGTCAGGAAGAAAATATCTAAAATGAGTAAACAGCTAAGGACAACGTCCAAGGTATGGCTCATCTGGAAATGGGTTGATGAAACAAATTAAAAGTGAACATACTTGGAGAGGAGAAAATCAAGAGGTTAAAGTGATGAAAGTATCACCTTTGAAGGCACTGAAGTCATCCAGAGAAATGGCAGAAAATGAAGAGAAGAAATGAGAGTCAAATGTCAAAGATTTCAATGACTGCAGAAGCAAGCTAAATGGGAAGGCTGACAAAAACTGACAGTAGATAATCCTTCATTTTTACCTTTTTATTTTGAAATAATTTGTCTTATAAAAAGTTACAAAACAGTACAAAGAATTACTGTATACACATTACCTAGACTCCCCAAATATTAACATTTTATCATACTTGCTTTATTAACCATTCTTTCTATATGTATCTACACAAATACCTTTTTTTCTTTTGAAAGAGGGTCTCGCTCTGTCCTCCAGATTGTAGTGTAGTAGCACAATCATGGCTCACTACAGCCTTGACCTTCCGGGCTCAAGCAATTTTCCCATCTCAGCCCCCCAATTAGTTGAGACTACAGTTGTGTGCTGCCATGCCTCACGTAAAAAAAAAAAAAAAAATTCTCTGAAAGAGAACTATAAAACTAGTAAACAAATAGCAGGTTTAAATAGCAGAATAAGGTCAAGTAAACACCAGAAAGTTAAGAATTAAAAAACTGAAAGGAAACATATATTGAATTAGACCTAGAAATTTGGGACAAGTTGTAGATAATGGTAAATTTGGTCTTGAATAGGCCAAAAAGAGTTGCCATGTTGCCCAGGCTGGTCTCAAACTCCTGCGCTCAAGTAATCCTCCTGCTTCTCCCTCCCAAAGAATTGGGATTACAGGCATAAACCACCATGCCTGACCTCACAAATTTTTTTTTTCTGAAACAAAAAAAGTTACAGGCATGATGCACTTTGACTTTTCAAGACAAATTTTAAGATACTGCTCTATTATCTTACATTTTGCCTAAATTTCTTTACCTTATTCATAGCCCAACTTTGTGAATTAGAACCTTTTCTAACCAAGAGAAGATAAGAGCAGTTGTAACTCTCTCAAGTCACTAACTTCTCAAGAAGTTCAGTCTGCAATTATTTTCCCTAAGCTCTGGAGCCCAGGAGAAGAATCTTTATGAAGTGATAATGAGATGAAGCTACTAAAGCTTTAGCTGAGCTTATTTGTATTGCTCCTCACTTTAAAAAGAACTGCATACAGAAATATAAACACAAGCCAATAAAATGCCATGAAAGTGAAGCTACTGGTCTGTTTTGCATATTAGTCAATTTAAAAAATAAGATAAACCTTAAACAGAAAAATATTCACTTTTGATTCAAACTCTTACCTCTAGGCAGATGAAAATTTAAACCTAAAACCATCCTGTTGCTTCCTCTATCACTTTCATATGATTTGAAACGGAAACTCTCTTTAGTAATCTACTTTAGTGTTTAATCAATGTCATTGTTAACTATTCTATTATTATGACTAACTGAATACTATTCAACTTCATTTCTCCATATGGACTTAAAGAATAAAGTGTCAATGTCTTCTTCATCATTCAAAAGTTATGAAGTCAGATTTTCTTTTCTCAGAGTTGAAACAATGGAAACAATT